CTGCTTTTGGGAGTGGCCACAACTGATGGCTGCACCCTGTTCTGTGCAGCAAATTCTGATGGCAAAGCTGTCCCCGCTGCCCAGCAAAGCCAGGGTGTTTTGTACTCCCTGTGAAAGGTGGTTGCAGCCCCCTCTGAAGCTGGAGTAGCTGGAGCTGTGCTGCCAGAGTGGAGGGACATGGGCTGGTGCTGAATTTGAGTGGCTGCAAAAAGCAAGAGTTGCCTGGGCAAGGATCGCCTGCTAAGGCATTGGCTCATTGCTTAGAAGTTCACAGGCAATGTGGGGTCCCCATCTCTGAATTCCTCTCTGAGGACGGGCCTACCATCAAAGCCCCAAGTGTAAGAAGGCTCTTACCTCTTGAGGGCTCCATTGGTCAGTGAGATCCCGTTCCTCATCTCCAGTTTCAGGGGTTTACTCTCCTGCCTGCCCTGGTCCTGCCTGCAGGTCTTGGCCCTGGACTGGGCCTTCTTGGGGGTAGGCAGGCGGGACCTCCTGGGGCCCCCAGTCCTCCAGCAGTGCAGCAAGTGCTGATATGCCACCCGAAAATCCCTGTTGAATGTCCCGTAGAGGATGGGGTTCAGGGCTGAGTTTGTGTAGCCCAGCCAGAGGACAACAGACATGGGTGTGCCTTTCACCCTGCTGTCTCCCCACATCCCCCGGTACGTGAACACCGTGAAATAAGGGAACCAGCACACGATGAATGCTCCCAGCACCACTGCCAGTGTCACAGTGGCTTTGTGCTCTTTCACCGTGGGCGGCATGGAGGTGTTGCTGCTGCAGCACCACGTGTGGTTTATCCTCTTGGCTTGCTCCCTCGCTATCTTGAATATCCGGTAGTAGGTGATGCACATGATGACCAGAGGGATGTAGAAGGTGAGCAAGGCATCCACTAGTCCGTACATAGGGTTCACCTCCAGCGTGCACTCCTTGTTGCAGCTGGGGGCTGTGTTTTGGACTGCTGTCCCGTTGGTGTTCCAGCCCAGGTGGATGGGTAGGAAGGAGACCATCAGTGAGATAGTCCAAATAACAATCAAGCCCACAGTCACACGGGAGGGAGTGACCACCTGGCTGTAGCGCAGTGGGGTGGTGACAGCGAAGTAGCGATCCAGGCTGATCATGAAGAGGTTGAGGATGGAAGCTGTGCACAGCATGACATCCAGGCTGGTGTAGATGTTGCAGAGAGTGCTGCCGAAGGGCCACTCTTTGGTGAGCTCGAGGAAGGCAGAGAATGGCAGCACCAGCAGGCCCAGCAGCAGGTCGGTGATGGCCAAGGAGACGATGATGCAGTTGGTCAAGCTGCGGAGCCGGCGGTCAAGGGTGACAGCCAGGCAGACAATGATGTTACCACAGAGAGTGATCACGATGAGGATGGCGAGGCAGGACCCGACCAGCAGCTGAAGGGGGAAGTCCATAATTTTTTGAGTGCTTGTATGGTTGTAACATGGATCCATAGTGCAGCTGCATGGATGGAGCAGTCCTGCTCCCACTGGCTACAAAGCTACTTGGAGCGAGCCTCTACGAGGCAGCCCTAGAGCCCTTTCCAAAGTGACACTGGACCTACAGTGACCTTGGGGAACGCTGGAGAGTCACTTCATGTGTTCAGCCTTATATGCTAGGAGTGACATGGTACTCACTTGTGCCCATCAGCCCCATCTGGGAGCCCAGTGCTGGAGCTGATCCCCTGCGGCAGTGGCTGGTGGGTCTCAGCTGCTCCCTTTTCCTCTCCTGCATTCTTTTTTCTGAGCAACCATGGGGTCAGGTCCCATGGGGCTTCATGCTCTGCGTGTTTGGTTGGTGACAGCGGTCATCAGTGCTCCAACAGCGACAGAGCTTTGCCACCTCCCAAAGACAACCTGTAAAGGAAACACCAACTCAGAGTTGCAGTGGGCAAAGGTCCTTTGAGCTGCCCCTTGAACCCCTCCAGAAATGGGGCACCTGCACCTCCCTGGATACTCCAACCCACATAAACTTGAATTGGAAAGTCCCTTGGCAGCCAGGCATGCGTGTCCCTGCCAAGCTGGCGTCCCCCAGCCCCAGTGGTGCCCAGGTAATGTAGAGATATTGAGAGAGGAGTAGGGATTTTAAAGGTGCTGAGTTCCCACAGAACTGAGGAAGCAGTGTGCTTGGCTTCTGCACTCTTGCAAAATTAGTTACTGCTATGTAATTTCTGGAGCTGGGCCAGGGCTGCAAGTCTCATTAAAATTTGCCTTTGTATCTGTGCTTTGCGGCAGCCTGTGCCTTGTGTTGGTCCCTGCCCTCAGGAACCACCTTGGCTCCAGCAGTCAGAGAGGAAATCCTCGCTCTGCTCGGGGTCCTGGGGGGAAAAAGAAATTCATTTGTCAGTGGTGCAATGCCCTGGGGAGGGAGGGTGGCTGAAAAGGGCTCTGGCAGCTTCATTAATTTCATTCTCAGGAGCTGAAGGGCAGCATGGAGGTTTATTTTTTTTGGGAGAGTTTGGATGGAGCTGCTCCTGCTGTGGGACAGGAACACAGTGAAAAACAGCCATTGTAGACTTAGTTTCTGTGACTGTTTTTGGTCCTGATGTAAATAACAAAAAAGGACAACGGCAGAAACGGCATAACAAACCTCTCTAACCTCTGAAAGAGCTTTTAGCTACTGATTACAGTGGTCTCCATGACTGGGCTGCGACTAGATTCGAAGTGCCCTCAGTTCCTGTGTGACTGCAAACACCACCCATGTTGGGAAGGTGCCTAAAGGGAACTGAGGCACTGCAGGGACAAGAAAGAGCAGGGGCTGGGAGCAGGCTGAGGAGCCCAACAGCCTGTGCTGCTCCTGTGCTCTCCTGCCATGTGCTTCCTGGGTGAGGTGCTGGGTCTCCCCATCCTCCCTGATGTGCTGGTCCCCATGGGTGGTGCAGGACACAAGTCCTCAGACTCTTCACAACATGTGGAGCAGGAGTGGAGCCCTTGGTGGTGGTGCACAGACTTGTGCAGGAAGGTAGAGCTGACTCTTTGTAGGGTGCAACAGGCTGTAGAATGGAGCAGACAGAAGAAACTCCAGGAAAGGAAAAGGTCCAGTCTTGTCAGAGGACAGAGGTGAGATTTTAAAGTTCAGCTTACCCTGCAAGAACAAGATAACTGTGTGGAGCAGGCTGAAATATTCTGCAGATGAATTATGTCTTTGATTGAAAGTTAGAGGTGTGGGGGCCAAGGGAGGGTATGTGCCAGGGGGACTGCATGAGCAAATAACCACTGATTGCCAGGAGCTGTACGGTGGAGAGGTGGGGACTGGCTGGTGAGATTAGAGATGATACCTGCAGCCTTGCTGCTTTCTGAAGGAACTGGAAGGGAACGGCAAGTGATGAACCAGCCTGTGGGGAGCGTTCTGCTGAGCAGAGCAAACACATTGCGAGATAGGGGTATCCTCCGAATCTGGGTGCTGGGATTCAGGCTGCCGGGAGGGGGATGCGATGCTTTCGGCTGCGGCGGCAGCGTGCGGAGCGGTCCCTCACCTCCCGCTGCAGCGCGGGCTCCTGCCACGGGAAGCTCTTTGTTCCTGCACAAAGGGAGCGCTGAACGAGCAGAGTGCTGCGTGCCCGCTGAGGCAATGACAAGAACAGGTTGTTCTCAGAGAAGGGTATTTCCAAGTGAAAGGGATGTCTTTTTCAGCGCTCCCAACATGTGGAAATGGCAGGATAAATTATAGGGGGAGTAGCACGCTTAGAAAATGCTGTGGGTGGATCGCAGCCTCCTACGTGGCTGCTGCACCACACATCAACAACCTGCTCCTGCCACCAGCTCTCGCAGCTCACGTGGGCTCTGCCAGGGCTCAGCGTGGGCTCCCCAGGTGGGTCCCAGCTCCGGGTACATCGGCCTGCTCGGCACCCGTGGTGGTGCGGGCAGTGCCCAGGGCAGCCCTGTGCTGCAGCCCTGGCCACAAGTACTTTTGTTTCTTTTTACTTTTTCTAATTAGCTCAGGGCAAGAAATGGGCACTTTGTTGTTGTTTGTCCCCCCTCCTCAGGCAGGGAGTAGAAAGTATTTAAATTTCTGAGCTGTGGAAGGAAGGAGCAGGGGTCCCTGAACAAAGGGGACAGAGGTGTCCCCATGTCTGCAGAGGAACCCAGGTAGAGCTGGGCACTGGGGTCTCAGCGTCTCTCAAAGCCCAGGCCTGGGCACCCTCCCCCTGGCACATGTAGCCTGCAGGGCTCAGCCACCTGCAAGCCCCTGGGACTTTGTTCCTCCACTGGATGGGGCAGGCACCCACCCAACTGTGGTGGGGTGTGAGAGACTTTCCCATATCCCTCAGCCAAATTATCTCATCAAAACATTGCCCTGAGCAATCACAGCCTCCAGACATGGCTTTGCAGGACAAGCAGGCTGGAGGGCTGCTGTAGATGAGAGATGTGGGGTCAGTTCATCACCATCAGAGTGCAGTCACTGGGGCAATGCACCCAGCCTGGGGCTCCCTCCTGGAGCATTCACCCTCCATGATTCCACATCTGCTCCTGCTTTTCTGCCCTGGTCGCTCACAGCCACCTTCAATACCAGGTCGTGTGTCTTCTGCTCCTGTTGCATTTTTGAGTTCATTTCCTCCTTGATGTACAAGTGGAGCAGCTGTTTCCCATGGCAGCCTTTCTAGCAATAGCCTGAATAAATGATACCCTTCCAGCCCTGTCTCGCCAGGCAGCTTTTATGTTTACCTGATTATCCTCATTATCACAGCCTAGACCTGCTCCTGGTTCCAAATTGCCCTCCTGGCAGTGAGGGACCAGGGCAGGCCATTGCTTCAGGGTCACCCTTCTAGTGCCTTTTCCAGCAGTGCTGGTGCTCTGGTGGACTATATCTCTGCTGTGAAGACTTGTCAGTTTGCATTTGTTTTGCTGCAGTCTTCCCAATGTAGAAGCCAGATATTTTTCCTATGGTGTTTTCAGCTCCTTAGAGTAGTAATTTTTGCTGCCATTCTGTAAGCATATGAACTTGTACCAGCCCCTTGTGCTTCTCTCAATCTTTGCATCCTCTGGGTCTTCTCCATTTGTACTTAGTCCCTTGCCCAGTCTAAAACTTCTCCCAAGTTTCTCACCAGTACATTTTCTTAGACAACGTCCTGTTTTCTGAGCCAAGATCACTAACGAAAACCATTAAATAAGATTTATCTCTATGATGATCTTTAAGGAACTCTATTAATAGCCTTCTCTGAAGCATTAATGGTTCTTCCATTATAATGTACTGTCATCTCCCCATTAGCCTCCTTACAATTTTCATAGTAATTCCTGCCTTCTCCTGCTTGAATAGATATTTTCTACTCTGTTGCAGCCTGTGTGACATTTGATCCCTGTGTTCCCATCTGAAACGGCAATTACCTCCTCTGGGGAAGGGGCCGTGATATATCCATGGGAAATTTCTGTTGTCTTTTACTCTTTTATTCCTCTTCTTCATCTTTCAGCATCCCGTCTTTCAGCATTGTTTATTCCAGCACTTTGTGCACTTTTATAGCAAGACTAATGGGATGCAGTGCCTGCTCCAGCAGCACAGGTAATACATTTGCTGCTCTCTGTTCACGTGCTTCTGCTTCTGGCATAATAGGTTTAAGATCTCTTAAAAGCCTATGTACATCGGCACCAAGAGCAGCTACGTGGGCAGAAGGGAGCACTCAGCAAGCACCTGAACATGGCAGCCTGACTTTGGGAAGTGTTTCCCACTACCCGAAAGGTTACAGAGAGCCATGGTTGGGAGAATCTCCGCATGAAATGTTTTAGCTCTGTCCTGGGGACAGAACAGCTCCACGCTCAGGCAGACCCAAAATGTCATTCTGCCTCCTGTGTTAGATTCTTTCCAGAGCGAAGTGTCAGCAGAAGTCACTTAGGAGCAAAACAAATTCCCTGGCCTTGCTAGGATTGCAGCAGAGCTTCATTTTTTTTTTTTTTTTTTTTTTTCCCCAAAAATTATGTTCCAGGGCTTCCAGAGCTTAAACATCTGGACATGCAGTGAGAGGTACTTCAACCAAGGCTGTGAGACGAGTGGGAGGGTGGGGATTTCTTCTAGTCTGAAAGAGGATGTTTGAGGTTTGATGGTGGGGAGGGGGCAGGGCTGGGAGCTGCAGGGACCCTGGCAAAGGGCTGTTTTGTTTCCCTGCTAGAACCGTTGATTCTGCCTTGAAATGGGACAACTAAATTTGCCAGAGTTGGGGCTTGAAGGAAATTTGAGAGGGGACAAATGTGAGGGTGATGCAGAGTCTAGCTTGCCCTGCTGTTAGTGGATGGCTTTAAGGCTGTGGCGTTGTTTCTAGTTTGAGTATTCATTTTGAAATGGCTGATCTGCCTCCCAAGGGGTGCTGCACCCCAAAGCATCTTCCAGCATGCCTCTGCCCCTGTCCTCAGTGAGCACCATCACTGGAGCTTTTGCTTCCCTGTTTCCATCTCTTCCTTGCAACTGCTCAGCTCCCCTGGGCCATCAGGTGTCCTGTTCGTGGGGGCTCACTCATACAAGGTGC